ATAGTTGTTCTCTCCACAATTGAAGCAGAATATGTCGCTGTTATAGAAGCCAGCAATGAGATGGTTTGGCTCCAAAGTTTCTTGGAATAGTTAGGCAAGAAACAAGAAAATAATGTCTTGTATTGCGACAGTCAAAGTGCTATACATCTAGCAAAAAATCCGTCTTTTCATTCTAGGACGAAGCACATACAATTGAGATATCATTTTATTCGGTCTCTTCTAGAAGATGGGGTTTTAAAACTTGAAAAGACTTATGTTCCTTTTTAGGCTTTCAACGGACTACATACTTAGGTAAGTACCTTGCTTGCCTCTTTTCCATAGTAGAGTGACTAAGAGTACATTCCATTTTATTATCGAGAAAGTCTGAAACAAGCTGAATAGTTGGATGGCGACCAAGTTGCCCTAGCAGGACGTGTGACTTTCGCTATGGCAACCTTACTCACCATCCTCAATTATTTTATGCAAACTATGGTAATACCCAAAGGTATTTATGACCAAATTGAGTAAATTTCTCCTTGTTTCATTTGGGGGACGAGATCCTCCCCGAACATAGCTCTCGTCAATTAGAAAACTTAGTGTCAACCCACGGCACATGGTGGGCTGGGCATTAGATAACTTCACTCTCAGAATGAGGCCTTTTTTGTCAAGATGGGCCATAATTTGCTTATGCTTCTGGAGGCTTTATGGGTTAAAGTTCTTCTGTCTAAGTATTAAATAAGATAGTTGGTGCCCACTAGTATTGAAGTCGATAATTGTTCATTCGTCTGAAGATCTCTCTCTCGGGTTTGGAACTTCATCCGGGATAAAGTTTGTTGGTCTATCAACAATGGGAGAAGGGTCATATTCTGTACCGAATCTTGGATACCTGAAACAAAACCCATTATCGAGTTGGCTTCCCAAATCGGATCACTGATTCTCATGTTGTATTTCGTGACTATATAACTAATGCAGGTGACTAGGACCTCAACCGACTAAGGCATTGTCTGGATGAGGATATTGTCCAAAAGATTATGGTGATGCCTACACCTTGTGATGTTGTAGGAGACAACCATCGTTCATGGCGTTGGGCTCATGCATGTATTTGCACGGTTAAGTCAGTCTTTTTCAAAAACCAACAAGATGGGTGGGATACGCGTAGCAACCTATGGAAGCTTGCTTGGGAGTTTGATGGCCCCTAACGGATTAAACATTTCATTTGGTTGGTCCTCCGTAATCGAATAATAACCAATATCGAACAAGCTAGGCGAGGTTTAACTATGAAAATGTTATGCCCGGTTTGTGGGAACGAAGAAGAAAACATAATCCACGTGTTACATGACTGCCCCAGAGTGCATATGATCTGGTTGCAGCTAATTTCGAATCAAGCTAAGACTGACTTCTTCTCCAAACCGTTGATCGATTGGCTTCAGGTAAATATTTCTAAGAACGTAGGTATTACTCAAGTAGAATATCATTAGAGGCACCTCTTCGGAATCCTTATTTGGAGGCTTTGGAAACAGAGGAATTCCTTTGTGTTCAATGGGCAAGTTTGATGGTCGATAGCAATCATTCAATCAGCATGGAGCTGGGCCTAGGAAATTCGGAACAACCAACATGGTCTCCATTATAACCAAGGTTTATCTACAAGGCTCCTCCATTGGTCTCACCCTAAAGCTGGAATGGTGAAGCTCAACACTGATGGAGCTATCAAACCTGACATGATGACAACTTCAAGTGGAGGCGTTCTTCGGGCAATAATGAAAATTGGATAATTGGTTATCATCAAAATATTGGAAGCTTCTCGTTACTCCATGCTGAGCTCTAGGCACTATTCAATGGCCTTGAAATCGCTTGGGATCGGGGAGCTAATCAGATTGACTTGGAGATGGAAAATAACGAGGCAATGAGGCTTTTGAATAATCTCACACAAGGACACGACTTAGCTCTCATTCTAAGGATTCCTCAGCTTCTTCAACTCCATTGGAAGATTAAGTTCGTGCATATTCGCTGTGGTATTAATGGTGTAACCGACACCATAGCTCGTTTGGGTTAAATGAAAGGCCGAGATTTTTATCCTTCCACCTCCGATGGAGTTGAACCCCTTCTCACAAGGGACATGGCTGGTTTGAAAAGATTATTCTTGCATTGCTTTTGTCGTGCTTCCCTTTTGTAACCAAAAATAATAATCCCAAAACCACTTTAACCCAAAAATATAATTAAGTTTGGTAAACAATTTTTTTTTTACAAATTTAAGAAAAACGCCCTCTAATCATTCGAATCAATTTTTTTAACAATTCTTACTTAGGGGAGGGGATGAACTTTTTCTCTAATAGGTATTGAACCCACAACCTAGAGGAGAGAAGAGATATCAACTGAGATCTTTTAACCACATGCTTTAAAGATTGTTGACCAAAATTATATTGTAATACAAATATTAACCAAATCAAGTCCTAATTTAGAGTCTAAACTATACTTCAATCTGACATAAAAAATTACAAAATATTCCATTAGTTTCTTTTTATCATTTTCATAATTATTTATTTATTTATTTTGTTAAATGTAATGTAACGTTTGTTGCAATGACGAGCTATATGATCGGTGTACTATTCACATGAATTTTATTTCATAAACTTTCTTTTCTTACTCTCTTTTATCTATTCCACTATTCATACGCAAAGATATATAGGAGGATGATTGAATGGTCGTCTCTCTAAAAATTTTAAATTTATTATATATTTTATATATTTTTAAGTATTTTTTATTAATAATATGTTTTCATTTTCTAAAATTTTATGCGTACTTGTTCATACGTTTTAAAAGTAGAAACGTCTCAATTTTCTCTTTTGTAACTCTCTCGAGGCATACAAACATATCACAAATTGGTCAATGATTGAACCATATACGTTAAATTGGAAAATTAAAAAGATTGATCAGAATCGATAAAATAAAAAAATCAATTAAAAATATATTTTTTTTAACAAAATTATGTTTTAGATTTATTTTCATCTTAATTACTAAATATATATCCTAAAATTATGACTTTTTTTAATTATATATTTGGAATCATTATTATTGATACACGTGATTACTCAGCCGCTACTATAATTGAGATTCAAATCTGGAAAAATTGTAAATAATTGATCTGCTTTGATCTGGAAATATTCAATATTTTCTGTAACTAAATTTATTATATATGATTAGTAAGTATACTTGCCAAACAATTTGTTGAAGTCACTGAAGAAAAACAAGATAAAACCGTCAAGAATGTATTATTCGGTGAATATTTAATTTAGTTGGTCATTTTCATTGATTTTCATTATTCAATTATAGTTTCGGTGATAAAAAAATTGTTATTATTCTTTAAGATTCCGGGTTAGAGTATCATAAATATCAGAGATGAGCGTTCAATATCAAATAATTGAGAGTTATATTTAAATATATATTGTCTTGTACTTATCTCATATTCATAATAAAAAACTTAATTAAACCCAATTTTTTATCACTTATCAAAAGTATTTTCTAGGTCACAACCACCTCTAGAGTTATAAGCAATGTTAAATATATAATTGTTTATAACATGTATATTAAAAAATATATCAGGCATTTTTATATCGTGAATGTAAGCCTATTAAACATGATGCCATTACCATACTATCATATGATCGATAATTATACAAATTATTTTTACTGAATTAATTGATACTTACGAATTTTGTATCTAAATATAATTAAGAAATATCATAAAATTATTTGTATCAATATACATATTTAATCATTTTCAGATAAATTTTAAGCGTCACTTTATATATTAACTTATTATACGATGTGCAATGATTTATGACATAAAAATGTCTGATATATTTTTAATTTACATGTTATCAAAAGTGTCTTATACATTTTCTAGGTCACAACCACTTTTAGAGTTATAAACAATGTTAAATCATTTTTGTTTTTGTATGTTACGTGTATATATTATATATGATATATATTTTTAAAATTATTTTTATTTTTATTTTTGATAATTTATAATTTTATAATTTGTGATATTTTTTTAGTTTTTTAATTTAATAGTTTTTAGTTTTTTTTTTCTTTTTAGTAATTTAATTTCTATTTCAATTTTTTATATTTATTTTTTGAATATTTAAATATTAAATATTTAAAAAATTAATAAGTCATTGAATTTAAAAAATATTGGACTATTACATTAGCATCATGAATCGTCATGTCAGTATTGTAAACTGCCACTCTAATCTCGTAACAATCAATATTTATTTCCTATGGTTAAAAAATTAAATTGTTTATTTTTTCAGCTACATTGAACGTAAAAACAAATTGAAGATGTAGAGGACTCCGAATATCATTGAATCTTTTTAATTTGAATAACTGAAAATTGATCGATCAAATTAAAAATAAAAATAAAAATAAAATTAAAATTAAAAAATCATATTAATAGATTAAATTGATGCTGACTAAAATAAATCAATCAATTCTTTTATTTATTTTCTCCTAATATTAGTTGCTCTAATTTTGAAAATTTAAAATTTTATAACAAAAATAATAAAAAATATAAAATTAAATGCTATTATTAATATATTACATATGCTTTATATCTAATTTATCTTTGATTTTATATTATATTATTTTTATTTTTAAATAATATAAGATAATTATAAAATAATATTATTCAAAACTTTTTTTAAATTATTTATAATGCACATACACTCTTTAATATAATAGTTCGAATTTAAAATTTTAAAAAATAATAATATTTTTTTAGTATGGAAAAGATTTGAGGAATTCTCTTTAATTTTATTTTAAATAACTGAAATTTAGTCATAAATTGACAAAATGACGTCAGCATTACATAATTAATATGAATTGAAAAAGGAACATTACAGTTGCTTCCCTTGGTAAAAGACTAAAAGCACTGACCAACTTTGACTAGGCATAGTCATGATTCATGGCGGCTTATTGCTTTTGCGAAAATGCAAATAAATTTATTAATCATATTTAAAATATTCTAATATTTTATATAAAATATTCTAATATTTTATATAAAATATTATTTAGTAACTGTTGGAAGATGAGTGGGCTATTTAGGAGTGAAGATGAAGGAAATGGAAGGTTTTTTTTTATTTGCTTTTTCGAAAATTGAATTCAAGCAAACTGCAAAATTTTGCTTATTAAATCGTTTTATATTTTACCATTGTGTTGGAGGAGGAGGTGATGGAAATTTCAGTTGCTGAACATCAACGCAGTGAAGCATCTTCTTCATCATATCCTTCACATAATTCTCAGGTTTTTCTTTTTTCTTTATTGTTTCCAATAAATGCAAACTGCTATTTTTTTTTTCTTCCACAAATTCATTTCCCAGGCAATATTTTATACATATCTTTGGCCATTTGATCTAGTTTCAGTGAAGCTCGACTGGGTTTAGCTTACAACTTGCTTTGTTTCCTTGTTGATCTTGGCTTTTATTATTATTTTTGTTATTTCTACAATATTACAGAATATATTAGATGAACCAAAGGTTTGATCTATTTAATCCTTGTCAGTGTGCGCCATTCTCAGATTATGCTTAATTCTGTGGAGTTTTTATTTGAAGATCGATGCTATTCCCCCCCCCCCCACTTTCTACCTGTTTACTGCTGGTGTTTGTGAGGGGTGAAATAACAATTTTATGAGGGGGTTTTGTGTGGGTATTTGGAGGATGACTTGTTGCATGAGGCTGTATTAGAATATCTATTTCATTATATTTAGAATACCTACAATCTATAGAATTTCCTAAAATATGACTTAAATTTTGCTTGGAAACCTTGTCATTGCCATGTGATTTATCCATGCAGTAGTTAATATGAATTTCTTTGTGTCACCGGAAGCAGTGTTTATTTTTATCATTTATCAGTGTTGTGCCTGCAAGGGTATTCGTTGAAAGAATTAATTTATAGGAAAATTGTCCAACCCACATACCAACTGTAAAAATTGTAGTTTATTGTATGACTTTTGGATTCAAAGAATTGGTCTATATTTATTTTATTTATACCCGAATATTGATTTTTATATCAATAACATAGCCATTAATTTAAATAGTGAGGTGATGTTAGGCTGCAATTGTGAAGTTTCGGCTCTCTCTGTCATCGGCATTCTCCAATTGATTGTAATAGCATTTGTTACGCCCACAACCACAGTAAATATGACAACCAAAAGTGCATCCGGGACCACAATTTAAATCCCTGAATATTGATTATTCTATAATTTTCATAGTCATGGATTTAAATAGCACCAGCAACGTGATGTTAGGGCTGCCATTTTTTTTTCTCTCTCCGGCATCGATATTCACCAATTTGCTGTGATACATTTATTACTTCAGCAACTGTGATAAATGTGAGAACAAAAAATGTATCCGAAACTGCAACTTAAATCCTTGATCGTAACATGTGCTAATCTTCTTCTTAGAAATACTTTATTTTGGGGCAATAGGTTTGTGTAGTTTCATATGACATATGCTTTGCTGTTGAAGTGGTGTTTGTAGCTTTTGATTTCATTTATTATCTTTACAACTCATTGTTGCTTGGTACAGTTTGATAGTTATGGAAAGTTGTGATGGATTGTAGGTATGCATTGAAATGGACAAAAGCATAGAAGCCTCAATTCATCAGACTAGACGCCCAAATCTCTCCTCTTTGCAGATACCTTTGAGGTCTTTGGAAAGTTCTTTCTACGATTTTACATCTGTAGATATTCCTTCTGACCCAAGTCCTAGCTCGACGAAAGCAGGATTGCCTCCTAGACCCCATTCAGCTAAAATCAGATCCTCTGTTAGAAATCTTCTTCCACAAGGGAGCTTTAGGGTAAACAATTTTTGCCAAAAAGGTGAGAAGATGGTTCTTATAGTTCCAGAGACAGCTCCTTCTGATTGTTCTTTGGAGAAGCCTTCTACTTCAAGATCATTTTCTCTCAACAAAGTTTTGTTCCCTTCAACAAAGGTAGCACATTCTTTACCGGTTACACCAATTGCGTATTCAGGTCCAAAGCCTATACCAGAAAGACATATAGATGCTCAGTCTACTGTTACTGTAAGTGCATTTTGTCTCATTTTCAATTTAGTTCCAGTGTTTATTGATGCTTTATGGCCATATTAAGGTGCAACTAGGAATTCACTGCATAAATATGTATGCCCCTAAATATTTGTTTATGCCATTTAAAAAAGATTTTTTTGCCTACAGAACTCAGTAGTTCAGCAGCAAATGAGTATGGCGCGCTCATTGTCAGTACCAGTTAATGTTAAACCTAGAAGTTTAAGACGAGCAGACTCTGGACGAGGTTTGGTCCGTGTAATTTCAGCAACCCCACGTCCTGCTGCACTCGAGGGTGCATTGCCAAATGACGCCCCATCAACAGAAATAAGTAAGTGCTAATTTTTCTAATTTTAATCAACACCTTCAGTTTGTAGACTAATTTTACGTGATTTTCAAATATTTAACTCTACAAAATACTCAATACTATCCCCTTGTATGCAATCTATTTTAGTTACAATTGGATTTGTTCTCCTTTTATGTCAAATATAATGTTCTAGAATGGACTTTAAATGAGTGTGTTCCTATGGTGGGAGCTATTGCCTGTTTGCATTGAGACCTCCTGATAAATTTTTTGCCTTCTTCATGCCTGTATCTTTAGTTGGTCTTGCTAATTCTTGTCTGGTTTCACCTAAGTAAATTCTAGAGATGCTTTGGTTGCTTCATTCAAGCAAATTATGAAATCAGGTTCTGTATACCATATGGTAAAATGTTTTAAGGATAGATTGAACTATTTCTTTGGAGCTTTATTTCATTCTGGTCTTTGACACAGCTTAATATAATCCTGTTATGGCCATGTTTGAGGTGCTTTGTTATCTGACCAATGTCATCTGATTGCAAATGTTTGTGGTGCTTTCTTCAATGATTGTATCATCAGTCTTTACTCCTTAACTTTTTGTGCTTTAATAAGGCAATGTGAGTATGGCCATCTGAGGCCCGGTCTACTAATATTTTATCCTATCTGCTTATCACTTTTACCATACTGTTGACATGTTCTCAGCTAGTGAAGATGCAGGTGAAGACATTCCTGAAGAAGAAGCGGTATGCAGGATTTGCTTGGTTGAGCTGGGTGAAGGAGGCGAGACTCTGAAGATGGAGTGTAGCTGTAAAGGAGAGCTTGCACTTGCTCACAAAGACTGTGCAGTGAAGTGGTTTAGCATCAAGGGAAACAAGACATGTGATGTGTGTAAGCAAGATGTTCAGAATCTCCCTGTAACTTTATTAAAAATGAATGATCCAAGGTTTGTTATCAGACGACCTCCAACTGTGCCACAGCAGTCTCAAGTTGCTGGTTACAGGCAAGTTTTCATTTCCAAAGTTTTTGATAACTTTGTTTCATAAGTGCTTGTTGCAGGTGTGAAATACAAATCCTCCAACTGTTATTTTCATTGGAAACTTTCATGATTTCTATATGGATTTATATTTTGTTTAGATAGCAAAGGTATTTTGGTAATTTTGTGTTTAGTGTAATCAGGGCGTTTACCTAGTAACTTATTATGCACTTCATAGATTGGTTTGTTATCTTTAGTCAATTTGCCATACCATCTGTGTGAGTAAAAGAGGAGAAAGATAACAAACCTATCTGGGTATGTCTGTAGTAGTTTTTTTGCTGTTTAATGGCAGATTGGAGTTAGGGGGTCCTGAAGAAGGCAAAATTAAGGAGAGCCTTCAAGGTATTTTAAACATTTTTCTATAAGGTTTATGATACTTCTGTAAAAATACGTGACTTTTATGATGCCCATGTTAAAGTGAGAATGGGAGGACATAGAATAACGAGATTCAAACTCCTAAATATCAAATTTAAAATTGCATTTTTATTTTTTTATATGAACCAAAATCTGGTACTGAATATTTGCATAATGACATAATAAGGTCGTTTAACCAGTTCTATTTTAAAATGGCTGTTTTCTCCTTGTAATTACAATGTGTATGCTACATATTTCATTTAGTTATGCAAGCAACCAAACTGAAGAAGATCAGTTTTGGTTCAATATGAGTAGTCTACATCTGTAATATCTATGTTCCTATTTTTTGCATACATAAATTGATTTCGGAGTTAATAACAGCAGTGTTCCACTTGTTGTCCGATCAATAGGCTCTGGCAGGATATACCAGTTCTTGTCATGGTCAGCATACTGGCTTACTTCTGTTTCCTGGAACAACTTCTGGTAATATTCAGTTATATATGTTGTGCTGTGCCACTTGTTTCCCTGCTATATTTTCTTTTATTTTGTAATAGCATCCATCAGATGGCATTCTTATCACTATTTTATGATGACATCTACTTATGTTATAAAACATGTGCCGCAACTAAGACAATCTTTCTTGCTTTTCAAAAGAATCAAATAACTTCTGATTCCCTGCACTGCCAACTAAATTCAATCCTTTCACACTGGTTTATCATTATTTATGAATAAAAAATACTAATTTAAATCTAAAACTGATTTGGAAAGCAATGATAAATACACCCTAATCTTGTCTTGCTTTCAAAAGAATCAAATCAGCTGAATACTTCTGATTCCCTGCACTGCCAACTAAATTCAATGCTTTCTCACTTATATATTGGTAGCGTTTCTTTATGCAAATGAGCCCAGGATCCTGCAAGAAAATTCCTTACTAAAACCTGGATGAAAATATCACTATATCTTTCTTTGTAAGTTTGATCCTTGGACTGATAATATTTATATAACTGTTAAAAGATCTGCTTAAGATGGTAGAACTTTTTAATCATGATGCTGTTATTGCCCAACATAAATTTAAGCTCGGTGTGTCTACCTAGATCTTTATTGTCGCATTTCCTTTCCAGCAAGACAGTTTGGTTCTTTGCTTCCAAAGGTCTGTTCCGTTTCAAACATTTAGCTAAGTAGCTGACTGCTAGGTCCATAGTTGTTTTTCATCCTAAAATAAACTCTAAAACATCTAAAGAACTTTCAATCAAATAAAATATTTCTGGCCGCATAATGATGTTTCTTGTATATCTGCATATTTTGGGCATTTTCTTCTATTTTAAACTTAGTTCTTAACAATTTTCTTTTACTGTGCAAGTTGATTTATGGTTTTTAATTTTTTCAACATATGTAGGTGTCTGATTTGGGTGCACTTGCTCTAGCCATCTCATTACCCTTCTCCTGTGCTTTAGGTCTTCTTTCCTCGTCGATTGCTGCCACAATGGGTGAGTATGCCATTTCTTGATTGAAAAAAATGTACGAGACATTTACAGTGAGAAAAATGTAAAACTTTATAGTGGTGTGGTGCTTCCTTGGTATTTCTGTTGCTCCTGGTTGGCAGAGGCAAAATGCAAGGGGGAAGCCCCTCCCTCTTAATACAGCTTCTGGCTTCGCCCCTGCTTGTTGTGTTATACCTAGTTCGTGTTAAACTGGTGTATCGGATGTGTAGTCCAACTGAATGTTCCTCGTTAGCAATTCACCTGTTTGGTTCAGTACCCAGATATTAACATGTTGCCATTGGTCGAATTTGGATATTGATTGAAAATGGATTTCAGATGTCATTTAAGATTCTTCTGCCTTTGCCATGCCATTTACTGACATTAGTTTTAATTTTTTTTTAAAATTTTGTCACCCTGATAAGATCTCCAGGGTCAGTGTTGTCAAGGCAAGCACCTAGGGCATGCGTGCGTCTTGCTCATTTGCATAAAACAACAAAAGTGACTCATACCTTTAAGTTTTTAAATTTAGAGATTTTGGCGCTTGCATATTTTTTAGTATTTAAATTCCATAGACAACTAAAGTTGCATGAAATCTTCTAGGAAGGAAATATTTTCTTCTTTGTTGAGGTTTATTCGTTATTTCTTTTATTAAACTAGGAATTTTACTTGAACATCATTCTGCATAGCAATTTGACTATAGTACTCTGTTGTGACAGTTTTGAAATATCTACTTTACCCATTACAAATAAAAAAAAACGAAACACAGCTTATGTTTTGATTTCAAATATGTCAATTACAGAAACCAAACTAAAACAGAGAACTAGTTAGCCTAATTACTTTTTATGTAGACAATCGAGTCTCATGGAACTCGAACTTTGTTCCAATTCTTGTTTCCCTTGTGCTTCCTGTAGCTGCCGCCATTTTTTTCATTGCCTAAAGTTGCTAAATTTCAGTATCTGATGATGGCAGTGAGCAGGAGTTACATATGGGCATATGCTTCCTTCCAGTTTGCAATGGTCATCCTGTTTGCCCATATCTTTTATACATTAGTAAGTTTAAAACCGATTTCTTCAGTGATTGTCTGCTGTATTACTATTTCTTTTGTTTCAACTATCAGCGACATCAATTTGTTCTGAGGGCGGAATCGGAGTTAAGCTCCTAATGTACTTCCCTTGATTTTTTTAGCTTGTTGTGAACCCAATTCTCTCGGTCCTCCTTTCGTCATTCACTGGGTTTGGTATTGCAATTAGTACAAATTCTCTTCTCGTGGAATATCTTAGATGGCGATTAAGACGACGAACACAACCCCGCCAACAGCAGATTGATGCAACCTTGCAGCAGTGACCATTGCTTGTTAGATTCAGTGGCAGTGAGAATCCACATATGTAAGTCATTGTCTTCATCTTCAGTTTGCCTATCCTGCATGTCATTTTGGCATTTATGTGTCTATATGTATACACATGTATATGTATGGTATATGTATGGTGAGAGGTTTGAATCCCAGTTCGAGTTTAGTTAATTGAGCCTGAAATTTAGGCAGGCGTGAAGACATGAGAAGCTTTTTGGTCTCGAAACTTGCTTCAAATTTTCGTAATTACAGCATTTTGTTCGAAATATTCTCAAGTTACATATATTGTTGTATGATCCAAAATGTTTTTTTTAGAGAAGCTGTCAACCTTTATTTTATGGAGTCGATGTTTGTTTTATTTTAAACTTTTGGTATCCTTCTTCCTAAAGGAAATCATTGAGACTGCTTAGAATTAATTTCTTTTATTTTGATTGTTGATTTGTTGCTTCCGACATACCCAGTCCATCCCTCACAATCTCACCATGGGATGTTACATTCGAAGCTTGACAGATCGAAGCATCCACATTGTATTTTAGCCATCCCCCTCTGGATCTACCCAAGTCATTGACAAAACCGTAGTGTGATGTGCCGGCTTATGGTAGTGCTGAAATGCTACTGTGGAATCGGCCCAATCCTTAGAAAACTTGGTTGCAAAATCAACCCTAAGATGGGTAGCCGTATCTTGTCCTTGCTAAACAAATAGGGTTCCTATGGAACCAGATTCTCCATAAAACCATAAGAATTGATCCCAGCAGCCAGCAGCATAGGACAACTTAACAACACATGCTCCAACGTTTCGACTTCCTCGTATTTCGAACTTGGAGCTACGGAAGATCGATGAAATGAGTTGAAATGCTTGAATTCTACTTGTTTAAAGACTCGAATATCCAAACCAGTGATCTTAGCTAAGAACTTATTTTGAAGAAAGGATACTCTTCCATATAAAAAGAAGGGTTATGAGCAAGAATTCATCGTACTGTATTAAAGCTTCAAAGGAGAGTGCAAAATACACTCATAAACATTCTTCAAATTGCCTTGGCTACTATCTCCTTCTCTGCTATGGACAAAGGTTTTTTCTTCCAACTGCATGGTCATTTGCTTAGACATTCATCATACTTTACGAACTAAACGACCTTGATATTTAAGGGTTTTTTTGTTAAAAGGTCAATAGTCTTTGAACGGATACTATTCATTTCAGATTTATCATAAAAAAAAGTTTTTATAGTACTATCAACTTAGTCATCGATATTAGAAAAAATTTCTATTTCAGTTGCAACGCTTAAATAAGACGGTATCAAAATCTAATTGATCACAAAATAAGAGAAGATTTATAAAGATTAGGATTTGTACTTGAGCATTTTAGAAATACAATCCCAATACACAACCATTACTCAAATTAACATATTCATTATAAAATTGAGAATAAATAGTTTTAAGCTTAAATTGAAGACAATTTAATTATATTTATTTTGTAAAAAATTATTAATTATGATATTAAGTAATGTTATAATTTTAATTAAAATTATTAATATTTTGTTACATGTACCAAGATTCATAATTGTGGTAGACTAACTTTTCCACTTAGTTCAATCATAAGAGCAAAGTCACGGCAACTCAAAGCAAAACTACATGTGACCGTAAAGACTTTGTGGGGTCTTCAAGACTTCATGAAGAATCAAGAATTTCAGTAGCATTATCATATATTTCAAGAAAAGGAAGCTCAACAAGAATGAAGCCCAGCCCATACCCATGTGCGTCTAAAGATAAATAGGTTACAAGTTCATAACTAGCTGTCCCAATTGATGTAACATCCAATTGGGTCAAATAAATGTAATAGTTCAGCCCAAAGCTAAATGATAAAGCTTGGGTCATATTTGGTCTTTAGCCCAACAAAGTATCCTCTTCCTAATATTTTACGCCTGCTATTCCAAAATATAAATGCACATGAAAAACCAAAGTTATCAATGGCCACAACAGACTGTTGATAACAACCTAGCAAATGCATCAAGCTGTCATGGAGTGGTGCCTTCTTCCTTGCCACTCCAAAATAGCTGCACATGAAAACCAAGAAAGGTATCATAGGCCAGAATAACCGATTGATAACAACATAGCAATGGGCAAGTGCATGAACTAAGCATATTGGCAGTCTAGCATGTATAAGTAATCAAATAAACATAGAACCTGATAAAAAGAATAATATTCGAACCCATTGTCATTAGTGGTTAAAAAGAGTGTTGTTCTCCCTTGAGATCTTGGGTTCGAGCAATTGCGTCTTCAGAAAACTATTTTTTTTTTAAAGAATAATGTTTATGCACCGAGTGCACATATGCTGTCAACAAAATGAAGGTAGAGCCTCAGAAAGCACAATACAACAGCCGAACGTTATAATTCTATTAATGAAAACTACTTGTAGGAAGTCAGTTTCAAAGCTTTGCTTTTGGAAGGCACCAAAAAAGGTCAACGATATATAAAGTAAGAAAAAACTTCTAATTATCCAAAAAAGGAAGGAAAACAACTATTTGCCACACCTCTCTGAAGCCCAAAAAAACAAGAAATAATAGTTGTTTTAGAACACTGGTCTCAGATATTCCCCTCTTGCACATATCATGTTTCTTTTGCATTGTTCACTAGGCCTGTCAACAAAGACCCGCCTGTATCCCCATATTTGCCAACCATCTATTCCTCAAACCAGTACGAGAACACATTACCCTCCACCAAATTATAACAAAAGCCCCAAAAGAAATATAATTCAATATCATTGCAAGCGAAATGATTAACTAAATCATGAAGGCATTAGTGTTTTTATCAATGAAAAACATTTATAGATATTAGGTGTCAGCCAAACAAAGGACCCAATAGAAAATATAATTCAATATCATTGCAAGCAAAATGACTAGTTAAATATGACACATTAGTGTTTTTAACGGTGAAAATCATTTATAGACAGGTGTCAGCCAAAAAAAAGGCTTAGCCATTTCCATATTATCAACTAATCATATATTTACTTAACATGTATATATTGCAAGCTCTTCCATGAGCTCAAGTTTGGATAAGAACTGTAGCACGGGCCGACTTATCAATTTGACATTCAAAGCAGTGGTAGTTTTCTACTACAACACAAGAAACCAAGAGCTGGAAAAGAGAAAAATTAGTTTAGTAATTGTATTCACACTAATCTAATCCACTAAAAGTTTGAAGGCTTTACCAGAGAAAACCAACTTCACACAAAGACCAAAGGAAGAGCTGGTTAGCATTAAGAATACAAAGAAAATTAGTTGGGACAGGGCAATCTTTCCCAAAATGTAGGCTAATTTCAAATTGAAAGCAAAAGATGCAAAAGTTAGAGACTTAGATAGAACAAAGAGGGAGAGAGTTCCTAACGGTGTGGGCCTAAATCATGCTTACCTTAAAGAATTTAGATGTTCTTCTTCTAGTGACCTGACCATCTCAAAATTAGAGCTCCGGGAGCGGCTAAAATGACTAGATTGAGAATCACCATAGGTCCCAGTCCCACTGTCTCAGCCAGAACCAAAGTCTCCAAAACCACGTCTTGCACCAAAGCTCCCAAAACTGATAGAACAATCTGATTTACCCAGCTCCCCTAGTACTCATGGACGAGTGACTGCAGGACCTCTAAAGTTTCCAGACCGATTATTAGAACCAAAGCGACTAGAGCTAGACCCTGCAAAGCCACCCATCTCATCAGAAAATTGACCCATATTACGACCAAATCCAAGACCCCTGTTGCCTTCAGGACAGCCAAATCCATATTCCTGCTGCCTACCAGAATGGACAAAACCCATATCTCTGTATCTGCGATCTCGTGTACCTCCATATGATCCAAATCGACCACCAGCACCCATCTCATTGAACATGTAGGTGCTCCCACCTTCAATCTCGATCCTAGGAAGTTACAATAAATTAATAAATGATTAACTTATAAGTTGAGTCCACGAAAACATAAAATGTAATAAGGCAATCAATGTCTACATGAATATCTGTAAGGTACAATACTCATACAATCATAAACGTGGAAATTTGTTTATTGTGTATATCCACATCAACGAACATGACTACAATTGACATCATTAAGTCATTCATGTTGCGGAAGACGGCTATCGAATAGAGTAAAATCGTAACTGATAATTTGGAAAAATAAAAATGAAGATAAAGAAGACACAAAATTTACGTGGAAAACCCCTAAATAATATAGGGTAAAAATCACGGGCAACGGTAGAAGAATTTCACTATGAAAAAATAGGAATTACAACCTCTCTCGATCTACCAAGGAGAAAACAATGATAATTCTCTCTTGATAAAAAGGAGAAAACAACTCTCAAGAAACTCTCTAAATTCTTTTTAGTATTGGAAAAAAGCTAGAATGCTTTGGGATGATTTTGAAACTAAATGAGCTAGAGTATTTATAGTTGAAACTTAAGGACTAATTTGTAAATACCCTAAATTACAATGACTAGATATGCTTTTACCATAAAATAAAATAATATATTTTCTACACCTTTCGGTGCCCCCATTTGACAAAGCAATTGAATGATTTTCGGTGCCATGTGCACCCATGTGCACCGTTTTTCAACAATCTCCCACTTGAAGATTTGATTGGAACAATCATATCTTCACACCATTCTTTCTACCTTGTATCTTCATGTTGCTTATATTTCCGTCAGGCCACAAAAGGATCGACACCAAGTAAATTTATCGGCATTGATCGCCTTCTTCATGAAATCTGCTATGTTGTCTTTGGTATGGATCTTTTGCATATCTACCGTCCTTTCTTCCACCTTTTCACAAATGAAATGGTATTGAACTCGTATGTGCTTTGTCCTTGAATGAAATGTTGGATTCCTTGCTAAATGCAAGGCGCTTTGACTGTCACAAAACAGAGAGGCATACTCTTGATTGTGCCCAAGCTCCTCCAATAGTATCTTCAACCAAATTGCTTCTTTACTGGCTTGTGTAGCTGCTACATATTCTGCCTCTGTTGTGGATGTAGCCACAATTGACTGTAATTTTGAAACCCAGCTTACAGCTCCACCAGCAACTTTGAACACATATCCTGTAGTAGATTTGCTTTTATTCAAATCCCCTGCATAGTCAGAATCTACATACCCATTGATTAGTAAATGATTAACTTATAAGTTGAGTCCACGAAAACATAGAATATAATAAGGCAATCAATGTCTACATGAATATCTGTAAGGTACAATACTCATACAATCATAAACGTGGAAATTTGTTTATTGTGTATATCCACATCAACGAATATGACTACAATTGACATCATTAAGTCACTCATGTTGCGGAAGACGGCTATCGAATAGAGCAAAATCGCAACTGATAATTTGAAAAAATAAAAATGAAGATAAAGAAGACACAAAATTTACGTGAAAAACCCCTAAATAATATAGGGTAAAAATCACGGGCAACTGTAGAAGAATTTCACTATGAAAAAATAGGAATTACAACCTCTCTCGATCTACCAAGGAGAAAACAATGATAATTCTCTCTTGATAAAAAAGAGAAAATAACTCTCAAGAAACTCTCTAAATTCTTTTTAGTATTGGAAGAAAACTAGAATGCTTTGGGATGATTTTGAAGCTAAATGAGCTAGAGTCTTTATAGTTGAAACTTAAGGACTAATTTATAAATACCCTAAATTACAATGACTAGATATGATTTTACCATAAAATAAAATAATATATTTTCTACACCTTTCGGTGCCCCCATTTGACAAAGTAATTGAATGATTTTCGGTGCCATGTGTACCCATGTGCACCGTTTTTCAACAATCTCCCACTTGAAGATTTGATTGGAACAATCATATCTTCACACCATTCTTTCTACCTTGTACCTTCATGTTGCTTATATTTCCGTCAGGCCACAAGAGGATCGACACCAAGTAAATTTATCGGCATTGATCGCCTTCGTCATGAAATCTGCTATGTTGTCTTTGATATGGATCTTTTACATATCTACCGTCCCTTCTTCCACCTTTTCACAAATGAAATGGTACTGAACTCGTATGTGCTTTGTCCTTGAATGAAATGTTGGATTCCTTGCTAAATGCAAGGCGCTTTGACTGTCACAAAACAGAGAGACATACTCTTGATTGTGCCTAAGCTCCTCCAATAGTATCTTCAACCAAATTGCTTCTTTACTGGCTTGTGTAGCTGCTACATATTCTGCCTCTGTTGTGGATGTAGCCACAATTGACTGCAATTTTGAAACCCAGCTTACAGCTCCACCAGCAACTTTGAACACATATCCTGTAGTAGATTTGCTTTTATCCAAATCCCCTGCATAGTCAGAAACTATATACCCATTGATTAGTAAGTTTGATCCTCCGTAATATAATGCAATATTTGAGGTCCCTTTGATATATTTCAGGATCCTCTTCACTGTATTCCAATGTTATTTGCTTGGATTCGCCATGTACAGACTAACCACTCCCACTGCTTGTGCAATGTCTGGTCTTGTGCATATCATAGCGAACATTAAACTTCCCACTGCTGATGCATACGGTACTCGAGACATCTCCATCCTCTCTTCTTCACTGCTAGGACTCATACTGGAGGATAATTTGAAGTTAATAGGAAGATGGGTAGAAATTGGCTTACAATCTTGCATGCTGAATCGTGACAAGATCTTCTTCAAGTAATTCTTTTGTGAAAGCCAAATTTTCCTATTACTTCTGTCTCGGTGAATTTGCATCCCTAGAATCTTGTTTGCTGATCCCAAGTCCTTCATTTCAAATTCCCTGGCCAGTTGTGCCTTTAATTCTTCAATATGATCTTTGTTGGGTCCTGCAACCAACATGTCATCCACATACAACAGCAATATAACAAAATCGTTATCACCAGACCTCTTGAAATAAGCACAAGGGTCTGCATTAAGTCTGTTGTATCCAAGGCACATAATGAAGGAATCAAATCTCTTATACCAACACCTCGGCACCTGCTTTAGACCGTACAGAGATTTGTTCAACCTGTAAACCAAGTTCTTCTTTTTATTTTCTTCAAAACCTTCAGGTTGGAGCACGTAAATCTCTTCTTCAAGATTTCCATGAAGAAAAGCTGTTTTAACTTCTAGCTTCTCTAGATGTAAGTTCAATGTAGCACACATTGTCAAAACTACTCGAACTGTTGTTAGTCGAACCACATGAGAAAATATTTCATTGAAATCAATACCTTCTTTTTGAGCATATCCTTTGACCACCAGTCTTGCATGATACCTCTCAACTTGATCGTCACCATTTCGCTTGATTTTGAAGACCCATTTGTTATCAATTGGCTTCCTTCCTTGTGGTAGTGGCACAAGGTCCCATGTATTATTTTTATGAAGGGCTTCGATTTCTTCTTGCATCGCCATTATCCATAGTAAAGCATCTAAGTTGTTTATTGCCTCCTGGTATGTTGATGGCTCACCGTCCTCTGTTAAAAGGCAGTATGCAATATTACCTTCTATAATATAATCTGAGTGCCAATTGGGACGTCTTCTCACACGATCTGATTGACGAGTTGTTGGAGCTTCAGAACTCTCTAGTTCTTGTTCATCATGTGCTGGTTCTGCTTCAGAATAATCTCCTTGTTTAACCTCCTTTCCCACATGTATCTGTGTAGTCTCTGACTTTTCAGCGCTATCATCATCTTCTTTTCTTTGTAGTTTATCTTCTACAAAGATAACAACCCTACTGATGATCACTTTGCGAGCAGTGGGATCCCACAAGCGATACCCCTTTACACCATCAGTATACCCCAAGAATTTGCATTTCCTGGATTTTGGATCTAGCTTTGAAATTTCTTGGGAGTTGTACATCACATACACAATACTTCCAAATACATGGAGGTTTGAATAATCAGCTGGTTTACCAGTCCACATCTTCATTGGTGTCTTCAGCTCTATTGCAGTTGATGGAGCTTGATTCACCAAATAACAAGTGGTATTGACTGCTTCTGCCCAGAATGATTTTTCTAGGCCTGCATCCCTCAACATTGCTCTTGTTCTTTCTAACAAGGTTCTGTTCATCTACTCTGCCACTCCATTTTATTGAGGAGTGTTCGCCACTGTGAACTGTCTTTTTATGTCTTCATTCCTGCAAAAGTCATCAAATTCTTCGCTTGTTTATTCTCCTCCATTATATATTCTGAAACACTTGATCTTATTTCCAGAATCAAGTTTCACCCACGCTTTGAAGTTTTTGAAAGTTGAAAACACATCTGACTTCTTCTTAATAGGGTACACCCATCATATCCTAGAGTAGTCATCAATAAATGAGACAAAGTATTTTGCTCCGCCTAGGGATGTAACCGGTGCTTGCCATACGTCAGAGTGAACCAATTCTAGAACACTTTTACCTCTAGAATTTGACGTGTTGAATTTCAACCGGTGCTGCTTACTTGTTATGCAATGCTCACACAAGGTAAGTGATACATTTGTTAAGCTTGGAAATAGGTTTTGCTCCACAAGGACTTTCATTCCTTGTTCTGACATGTCCAAGTTTCTAATGCCATAGCATTGCAGAATTTGAACTACATGAGGCAACAGAGGCTTCTGCTTCTAGAAAAGTCTCTCCCTTCAGCATGTACAAGTTTGCAGCTATATTTTCGCCTTTCAGCACCACAAGCGCTCCACGGAACACCTTCATGATTTCTTTTCGTGTTTCAATCTTGCTTGCATTATTATCCAACAATTCGTAGGATAATAAATTTTTCTTTAGGCCTTCCACGTGTCGCACATCTCGAACAACTTTAATTGTTCCATCATACATCTTTAATTTGATGGTTCCCAAGCCAATGATCTCTAAGGCATGATCATTGCAACTATACATAGATCCTCCTAAGATAGGTTCATACTGATGAAACCATTCTATTCTTGAGGTCATGTGATATGTTGCTCCTGAATCAATGAGCCATATATCTGCAAATCTTTTTCTGCCTTCCACGGTGGTTGACGCTTCATAGCATAGAGCATCTCCATCATCTGAAGTGTTTGCGGTATTGCCTTGTGGATTGAAGTTTTTATTTGGACTCCAACAATCCTTCTTCAAGTGACCCTTCTTTCCATAGTTGTAGCACTTTAAATTCTTCTTGCTCCTCGACTTCGATCTACCATGTTTGTGATTGCTGCTTTGGCAACGTTCTGTTGATCTCCCTCTCATCGTTTTCATCGTTGTTAACGCTTCTGCTTGTTGCAGATTTACTTGTCTGTCTTCTTTGTTCTTGCGCCGATTTTCTTCTTGTAGAACAGCAGCTGCAACGTCATCGAAGACTAGACTGGTGACATTACTGTTTGTCAAGTTGATGATGAGTTGATCATACGAATCCGGTAGACTTTGAAGTAGAAGTTCAACACGTTCTTGTTCTCCTATTTTACAGCTTAAAGATGTAACCTGAGAAAATAAAGTGTTCAGTGTATTTAAGTGCTCCATCACTGAAGTAGATTCTGGCATACGAAGAGTGTACAATTTTCTCTTAAGGAAAATTTTATTGTGCAGCGATGTGGCCTCATACAGTTTGATGAGATGATCTCATATCTCCTTAGCTGTCTTTTTCTCCTTTATGCTTGACAATACTTCATCCGCTAATGCTAGATGAAAATTTGCCATAGCATTCCCGTCCATTTCGATCCAATTGTTGTCATCTGTGAAATCCACCGGCCTTTCACTGATAGCTGCTAGACAACCGTCTTTCCTCATGATGGCCTTCATCTTCAATTTCCAGAATGAGAAATTTCTCCCATTGAATTTTTCAATATCAAATTTCGTTGCCATAGCTTCTTTTACGGATATCTCCCACTATTTCACTATCGTGAATAGTTCTCTGGAACCTTCAAAGAATGGGTAATACCTTCTTACTTTCTTATGTTGGAGGATCCCCCTTTTGGTGGCAACCACAAAGACAATAAGCAGATATTACACACTCAAATCTGGCTCGGATACCAATTGTTGCAGAAGACGGCTATCGAATAGAGCAAAATCGCAACTGATAATTTGAAAAAATAAAAATGAAGATAAAGAAGACACAAAATTTACGTGGAAAACCCCTAAATAATATAGGGTAAAAACCACGGGCAACGGTACAAGAATTTCACTATGAAAGAATAGGAATTACAACCTCTCTCGATCTACCAAGGAGAAAACAATGATAATTCTCTCTTGATAAAAAGGAGAAAACAACTCTCAAGAACCTCTCTAAATTCTCTTTAGTATTGGAAGAAAGCTAGAATGCTTTGGGATGATTTTGAAGCTAAATGAGATAGGGTATTTATAGTTGAAACTTAAAGACTAATTTGTAAATACCCTAAATTACAATGACTAGATATGATTTTACTATAAAATAAAATAATATATTTTCTACACCTTTCGGTGCCCCCATTTGACAAAACAATTGAATGATTTTCGGTGCCATGTGCACCGTTTTTCAATAATTCAAAACAGTATCCTCCAATTCAGATTGGATCAGCATATGGGTCAGCAAGAACAGAAAATTTACTAAAATTGAAATATTTTATTGCCAAACAACAAAATCTATCATCCCTGCACAACAGAAACTGGCATGTTCAACAGATTCAAATTAATACTTTAAGCATCAATCTAAGACAGTGATCCATTTTGCAACATCACAAACCTCCAATGAGGCTCGATTGCATGGCTAAGAAACGGTACCAAATATTACCACCTTCCTCCTCACAAAATAATTGTCAACTTTATGACAATTCCCTCGAGAATATGGGGTGATCCATAGAGTTGTGTTAAAACTTAAAATTGTTTTCCAAAAAAAGAAGAAAAAAAACACTGTAAATCCCAAACAAACATGGTGAATATACCGTTCTCTTAACTATTTAAAAGCCAGATCATGTACTAAACAAATGAGGACCAGATCCAAGTTGGAAAGGCAGTTCCAGGTTTTCTTCTTTTTCTATGGTATCTTTCTCTCTTACTTCACATTTTAATGCTGACTTTGGTTTTCACATGGTAAATAGTGTTCCCCTCTGGTGGAAAGAAACAAGGGTCTGGTATTGAGACCCTATAGAAACTTGTTAAAGTTAATTAAAATTCTATTTCAGGCAATTAATACCATTTAATGAGCTATTCTCACCAAATTCAAGGAGAAACATCACCTTAACAAATGCCAATAGGAACTCATTCAAATTTATGAAGAAACAAAGGCTCCCTTTCTTTAGTTACCTGGGAATTTGACATTTGGATAAAAATTCTTAAAAATAAAAACATACCAGCCGGTTTGAGCAGGAACTGGCAAGGTCTTTGCTTCAAAACTTCTTATAATTAACCCCGAACAAGAATGACAAAAATGAGGTAAAAGCTGTTTTGAAACATAAAATACAAGAGGCTGAAATAGGTTAAACGTTTAGGCCAACTCCACTTCCAAAAGACTGAAAGAGTGTCAACATTGAATTGTCTTTTGCCAACCCCAAGACAGGCTCTTTCACTTTAAATTTCAAATGTCCCGACTTTTCTAACATTCAATAACCCCTATACATATATGGATGTATCCCCCCAAATAAAAAAGGGAAAAAAGGAAAGGAAAACAACATGCACATCATAAGGGATACAGGATACAACCTCAGAAAATCTGCATCCAACTTCTCGCTCAATAACCCTAACAGCCCTACTATGCTCCTGAGTATAGATAAGAATTGCACTTCCTTTCCTTCCAGCACGACCAGTTCGGTGAACAAAAGTTTCAGAAGTATTTGGAAGCTCATAATGTATTACCTGGGTGAGAATAAAAGAATCACAAAATACTTCTTAAAGTACAATTAATAGGGCAAAAAAAAGTCAGCTGGTTAAAAAAGAGTTCAACCATTCATTATATAAATTACTTAACATCCAAGACCTGATACTATAAGCAAATGAGAAGATATGACCTCATACCATTGTACAGTAACTTCAGCTAAACCATGAACTGTAGCAAACAAAATGGGAAAGGAAAGTAACAATATAGTGCAATTTGAGAATCCACAATATCAATGCATGCAGAATTCAAAGGAATTCCTCAAGATGACCCTAGAATATACAAGCACTTCCATTGTAGTATAATCATGGATTCCAAAAGACAAAAATATTAGAAAAATCATCTCCATCAGCAATAAATAACAGTATAATTATTTCCTTGATACCTTTGTATTTTAACAGAATTTGCATTATTTCAACAACTACTAGTGCCCTATAATCCTGACATGGCGCAAGAAATTGCAAACAGAAAAGGCAGAATACTGAAACCTGCTACAACAAGCCATTAAATATTTTTTAGCGATAGTGAATAGGAAATCCATATATCATGTAGCACAACTTTTTCTAGGATTTCACATTGTACGGTCAATAAGAAGTATGTTATCCTTAAAATAGTACCACAACTAAGATAACAACCAACAAGACATGTCTGGCATCATGAGCCAAAAACATTAAATTATCATCTATAATCAACAGAGATAACAACAGTTTCTAACAAACCAAGCTAAAAATGGGTAAGAATCATGAAAGAGAATAACAACTAAAACTAACCAAGTCCTAAAACTAACCAAGTCAACACTCGGTATGTCAAGACCACGAGCAGCAACATCAGTAGCAACTAAAATATTAAAACGTCCATCTCGGAAGCCTGAGAGGGTTCTCTCTCTCCGGAGTTGTGAAATATCACCATGCAAAGCCTCGCATTTAAAACTGCTTGCCATAGCATGTGCCAGTCGATCAGCATCACTGTTTGTTTGAGTGAAAACAATACACTTTCCTCCTTTTGCATGCTCCTGAGGAAAAAAGACTTGACGATGAGAGAAAAAGAACTGATAATTGAGCAAGAACTATACAGACCGTGATTGAAATTGGTCCAAAACTTAAATTAAAAACAAAGGAAAATAAACATAAAAATAGAACTGACAAACAGGAAAAACAAACAAACTCTATTGTTATGACCCTTACTGTTATTAGAGGACCAAGAATTGATGCTTTCCCATGCATATCAGCTGCAACTGAATACAAGGAAATTCCTTCTGCCAACTTTTGATCAGAATTTCCAACCTGCAGATGCACATAAGTCACAAGAAATAACTACTGCTATGTGTATGTGTCTTTCTCTCTTCAGCCTATCCCCGTCATAAAAAAAATCAGCAGCAGAAGCAAATGGAATCAGATTTCACAACTTTTAACATGACATGCATTGATTTTTAGATCCCTAAATTTCCATAATACAAACAAATTGAGATTAAGTATGAACAAGTAACAAGAAGCAAGAAACAGTAACCATGAAGTTGGGAGATCTAACTAGAGTGAAATATAATCCAAAGTAGGGAGATCTAACTAGAGTGAAATATAATCCAAAGTAATTGTGTACTTCCTACACAAAACAGGAAACTGTTTGTCTTTAGTCTCCACTATTTTATGAGTGCAGAAATAGATGTTGGTTACAAGTAATAACCTTCCAACATCCATTAACATATGATAAAAGCTGATTTATTTTAAGTATTTCATAATAGTTCTAGAAGAGATTTCTTAATGTTGTAAAATAAAGAATCGAGAAGATGACCAAACATATATTAATATTAAACAATTTTGCAAAATATCTACTAATAATATATTACGAATCTAAAAAAACTTTTAAAGATTAATATTGATATATTAATAATAAAATATTTCACATAAAATAAACATAAATAAAATTTCAGGAACGAAATAAGTAATAAAACAAATAACTAATATAAAATTTTTAAATTTCAAAATGAGTAACGATCCACCCTATACTCCACCTACATCCGGTAATGTGTAAAACAAAAATTCGTATTTGAAAAATATTCTTTCAAAGATATTCGGATAAAAAAGCTACTATCACCCCTCTTCTCAAAGTTCTTAGAAAATAAACCAAGTACAAGTAATTTCCTTATAACCAGATTAGTGAGAATGCAAAATAAAAGCGGAAAAATAATACCCGAAATTGATAACGGAGTTCAGCCAATTGTGCTTACGTCTCCGGACTGCTGTAGATCTTTTACTAAGAGAGAAAATTTACAGGTGTTTACAAAACACTCACTACTCACAAGAAAACTCTCTAGTATTGGGAGAAAGAAATGATTTTTGGGATGGTTTTGAAGCTAAATGAGCTAGGGTATTTATAGTTGAAACTTAAGGACTTAATCTTGTAAATACCCTAAAACCTAGGGATTAATTGTGATTATCCCATTATCATTTTTCAACAAACATCTACCAAACTTTGAAAAACTATTTTTCAAAGAAACATTTACCAAACTTTGAAAACCATTTTCAAAGAAACATTTACCAAACTTTGAAAACCATTTTTTCAAAGTTGGTTACTGTCGTAACCTATTTTAGTCCGGGCACGAAATATTTACTTGGCTGGAAAATTGATGTGAATAAATGGTTTTAAAAATAATTTGGGAGTCGCCATCGGCCTTTTGGGTCAAGTAGGTCGAATACCTAAAAAAATATCTTTTAAAAGAGTTTTTAAGAAAACATCAATTAAAAGATAAACTGATCTGCGTTTTAACCAAAAATTCGTTCTTTTTAATAATAAAAAGGGATTCGTGGTCGGTTACGTTTAGGGAAGGATTAGCACCCCTACAACGCCCAAAATTGGTACTTTTTAATTATAAATTGTCTCTATTATTAAAAATTAAAAATTCAAAATATATTTAATTTAAATTTATTACTATAATTTTAAGTAAATTTATTAATTTATATAAATAAGATATTTATTTATTTAGAAATATCATAAAAGAGCTTCTAGGTGTTTTAAGACAGTTCCTTCCTTTGATATTAAAAAATAAATAAATATTAAAACATTTATCTAAAAAAATAGATTATATATATACAATTTATAAAATTAGGACATTATTTATTTAAGAATATCAGAAAAGGACTTCTAGGTATTTTAAGACAGCTCTTTTCTTAGATATTAAAAAATAAAATATATCAAAATATGTTTTATTTTTCTTAAAAGTAATTTATAAAATTAAATTTATAAATAGGATTTTATTTAATAACAAATAGAATAAATAAATAAATATTATATATTTATATAACTTAATAATAATAATAAATAATCATGAAGATAATAATTTAAACATATATCAAAGTAATAATAAAATAATAATAATTAAAATGAAAGAAAACAAAAGTAATAATATTAAAACTATTGGATCATATTCATAAATATATGAACCTAAAATGTAAAAATAATAAGACTTATGGTTAAAATTAAGATTATATAAAATTTAATAATCAAATTATAAAATATAAATATTTAAGAGACATGGTTAGAATTATCATAAAATATAAATACTAGTAGTATAATTAGCCATTAATTATTTAATAGGTGATTAAAATAGAAATATCAAAATTATTAGGGACTAAATGTGATATTTATCCTAAATATATTATTTAATACTGGTAAGGACTAAAACATAATAAAATAAAATTCGAATACTGAATTAGAACATTCAGAAATTAGTTTTAGTGACTAAAATGAATAATTACAAAACTTAGATGGCTACGGAAGGGGTTTAGCCATACATGTAAATTACGCATATACCCCTTCCCAAAACGACGTCGTTCGGGAAGGGGTTTATACACCCCTTCATAGCTGGCCCGAAGGGCCAGCAGCCTCATTGTTCTCTTTTTCTTCTTCTCTCAAAAACGAGAGAAGAAGCTCTCTCTTCCTTCTCTCTTAATTCCCTCACCGGAGGGAATTCCGGCGCCGATAGCCGAAAAATAAAACTTTATACCACAACGTAGATCGGATCGTCCTAATGACGATTCCGGTATTTGTTTACCTTAAAAAGCTCTCAATCGGAGCAAATATATAAAAATACCTTCGGTTTTCGAAGGTCTGTTGTGGAGCGTGGAGGCGCGTGGTTACTCCGGTGGTGGTGTGGCTTTCCTCGGTAAGGTTTCTTTCGATTTTTATCTCGTTATTTTGGTGTTTGATGGTGGTTGGATTGCTTGTTGTTGGTGTTGTTGTCTCCCGTTTGCTGGCTGTCATTTTTTTTTTCTTTCTTGCAGGGGACGGTGGCTTTTATAGCCACCACCGGTGATGGCTTCAGACCGGTCTAGAAGATGAAAGGCCCGGTGAGTCACCATAGCTATGGTGGTGACTCACCATAGGGCTCAACGTGGGTAGCTTCGTGACGTTCTGGAGTGTCGGCAGCAGCTGTTGGACCACCTGGACTCATCAGAGGCGGCTGGAAGCATCTAGAAACGGCTGGCTGCTAGGGTTAGAAACCCTAGGTTTTTCCATCTGGAACCCTTTTGGGCCGTTGGATCTTGCCAGATCCAACGGCTGATGATGTTGACGGTGGCTGTGGGCTAGGGTTTGAAAACCCTAGCTGAAACCTCAAATTAATTCAGGGTTTCCATTTGGGTTTGGGATTTGATAACCGGGCCTCCAGATTTGTAAAACGGGGCTCCGAGTCCTTTGGGCTTGTAATATATATTTAGTAATAATAAATTTAATAATAATAATAAAATTTAAATGAAAAAAATGATGTCTACAGCTGCCCCTCTTTGCTCATCCTTGTGTTAACAAGAATAGAGCAAAGACGAAAAAGACAATAATTTTTTCATTTGGCTTCTTTTGAGCAGGATGGAAATGTTTGAAAACATCATGCACTGAAGGACTTACAGATGACCCTAAGGCTTTGAAAACATCAAAAAGCTCCCGAAGGCTTTTTGGAAACATCATGCACTGAAGGACTTACAGATGACCCTAAGGCTTTGAAAACATTAAAAAGATCCCGAAGGCTTTTTGGAAACATCATGCACTGAAGGACTTACAGATGACCCGAAGGCTTTGAAAACATCAAAAAGCTCCCGAAGGCTTTTTGGAAACATCATGCACTGAAGGACTTACAGATAACCCTAAGGCTTTGAAAACATCAAAAAGCTCCCGAAGGCTTTTTGGAAACATCATGCACTGAAGGACTTACAGATGACCCTAAGGCTTTGAAAACATCAAAAAGATCCCGAAGGCTTTTTGGAAACATCATGCACTGAAGGACTTACAGATGTGGGAAATAGTTTACTAAGTAAAAAAACTAAGGAAATCGTTTTCTTACTTTTCATCAATTTCATTTTTAGAAAAGATTGAATGAGAAACTATGGAAATCGTTTTCTCATTTTTTTTCAAAATAACATGTTGATTGGGTAACATGCCCCAATCTCAAGATAATGCTCATTTTTGTGGATTGCATCCATCTCTTCTTCAGATGTTTGCATGATTCTTGTATTTGTGGTTTTGAATACCTTCTTCGTGTAAGGTATTTTTTACCCTGAATCTTCTTGTTCTTCCGAAGATCTGTAAAACTTCATGTTTGAATGCACTCAGATGTATCAATGTAATGCATTGTCTATTGTGTAAATGATATTTTTATGAATGCATGAATGTTGATGCAATCTTCATTTGACTTCAAAGTGGTGAACTTGGTCTTCCTTCATTTCATCATTTATTGCCAGGATTACCTCCAGATATCAGTGTAGAAACTTATGTTATCAAGCTTGCATTCATGCAGAATCATCTGATCAACTTGTATCTTTGCTGTCTTCTTTGCTTCATGAAAGTCTTAGAAGAAATGTTTCACTTGTGGAACTCTTGTCGTAGTCAAAATTATGACCCTGATGCCCGATTTTGTCTTGGATAAAACCAACTTTATTTGCTTGGACTTGTGTGTAAATCCCATAAAGCTTTCATCTTTAAAAAGAGAATCTATCATCTTTGAAGAGTGTAGATGTAGATATGCCTGACTCAGCAGGGATTAATTAGGAGAGTAGAATCTGTTCTAATTTAACTCTTGAAACATCACAAGGAAGATTTATTCCAATTCCTTTCAAGTCTCCACATATAATCAGATCTCGAATAAGGCAACTTGGACTAATATCATGTCGAGATGCTTAACAACAACCTGTAGTTCAACCTTAGTTGACCCCATTAGTTTCCAACTTTCCTTGGAAAGAAATCTTCATTATATCTCACTTCTAATCTTGGGGTTGAAGAAGACAAACTTCATCTTGGATCAATCAATGGAAACCATATGATCGTAACATTGGTTCAGCATCAGAATAGCAGGTTCGTAAAACATTTGACAGTGCATTCATCCTTTCTTGTGGCTTCTGCTCAGATGTTCGTAAAACATTTGATAACACATTCATCCTTTCATGTGGTTTCTGTTCAGATGGTCGTAAAACATTTGACAACACATTCATCCTTTACTGTGGCTTCTGCCAAGATTTCTCAATCATTTAAGC